TACTTTCCCCTGTGGAGCGCTGTGGTCCAGTTGCTACACAGTTTGACTCATGTGACATGGTACATGTAAGTGGGTTTGAACCATACACAATGTAGAGCTACTGGGTATATTAAATTACTAGAGCGCTAACTCTTCATTCTTGCACGCAGAGGCGCTTTGAAGCCACTCTGGGTGCAGACATTTTGAATTTATGTGCGTGTTTGTAGAACAGTTCATCAAAATAGATGGATTGAATTTTAAAAGTGTACTCTAAATGCAACACACAAGTAGAAGATACGCAAACACCTTAAGCGCGTCATGACGGTTCAAAAAACGTCACGGCGAAAAGCATCTGAAGCTGAGGGACGCACACACGTTGTGCTGTTTGCGTAGAACAAAATGAAATGTTCATTTGCTGACCGTGCGTTTCGGTTTTGGGCGGATCGCCTTCGATTACGCACCGGTATGGAATACCAACGCAGATATGCAAATAGCCATTCAAAAGTCGTACAAAATTTCAAGTTTTCCATAGGTTTGTGCACAAACATGGATGCGCCCATCAGGCATTACTTTGTACATCGAGTTAGCGCTGTAGAATTTAATATAGCCCTATGGTTTGAACCCTGACATGAAATATGATGCTAATGTTCTTGGGCAAGCCAATTTACTACAATTGCCTCCCTTCATCCTGGAGTATAAATGGATACCTGTACAGACCAGATTGCGATGATTTCGAGCTGATGCAGAAAAATGGTCTCATTGCCTGATGAACAGGGGTATTAACATTTTGTGAAACGTTTTGAGTGCTATATATAAGCACCACGTTAGTATTAATATTATTTATTATTGCTCATTCTTTTCATGTTAACAATCCACTGTCGACTGCAGAACAGTGTACATGTATGTACATGTATGTAGTCAACAGGCACAATACTCCTGTAGTCTTATTGCTTTATGTACTCAATCTATAGACAGATCTTCATCACCTTTCACTTGTTCATTTCCTGCAAGTGCGAGTCTCTTCGCTGTGATGAGCATTATTGCGCCATTTGACGTCTTTTAAGAACACTTCAGGTTGTTGCATGCTCAATAACTAATAAACTAACACCCATACATGTTAATCTGTTTTTAGATTACTAGGCAACCCTAACCATGGCTACGTGAAGGATGTGCGGTACGTTAGTGGTACGCTGCGTACGTGCAAACTGGCGATACCCAACCTGGGTACAAAGCAGACGGCCAGCACTGGAGAAAAAAAAACGATACAAAAGATCCTACCGGTACTTTGCATGTTACTCTGGTCCCTATGAGGTCGCCATGCCACTCACTTTGCTTTTCACTCCTTTTTGAGGTTTTCCAAGAAATCTATTTCTGACAACTATTGACAAGTTTTGTAATGGGTGAAGGGGTTGATCACAAGCTGTACATGATAGCTGTGTACCAGTAGGAATTCACTTACATTGAGCTGAAGAACCGGTAACTTAGACGCAAATATGGACATATTGTCAGAAATGTATGGTACCAATTATGAACATCTTCATCCCTTAAAAATTCATTAAAGAGCCATTTTTCCTTGAAATTACAGTTAACTAAATTTTCACGGATTTTTAACATATTAAGCCAGATTAGGAGTCCGTGAAAACACCCTTAAGAAAGTCCTTTGTTTACCCATGGAGATAGACCCAGTGTACTGTTATGTATAACCAATGATAATCCTCAGTGGCCAGGGCCATTAAAAAAACGTGAAAATACCCTTACAGGATTAGTCCTACATGTATATAAGCCCCATGTAATTTGCCATTCAAGGACCATGACTTCAAATGACCATATATTTGTTAAGAAGTGCATCCAGAAACAAAATCATACGGTAGATGTCAGATGTAAACAAGTGGACCCCAAATTTATAGAATGACCCATACATATATGTCTTCACTTTTACAGGGTTTTGCAATTCTCAATGTATTTCAGAGTCTTTATCAAATTAATGCTAATCTAAGATGCACCGTCAGTTACGATTAGTGTCGAATGACACACACTTGTTTCCACAAATTACACTATTATAGCATTTGACTGACTAAAACTTAACAACAGAGGTCTCACTTCTCCCATAGAGGATGGAATGCTTTTTTTCATCACCATCATTATATTGCCTCCGGTGAAGTCAAGAAACAGCTGTCCTCAATCAAGAGAGGGCGCTATTCAAAGAACTGCTCTAGCTGAGGAACCTTTTTTACACTAATGTTACAGCATTCCCTAGGCTGAAGTACATAAAACGCATTGCCACGATCCAATCTTAATAAAAGACTCAATTTCAGGGCAAAGTGAAAGACACAGATTGTGCAACAATGGCAAGCAGGTGCTGCCTCAGATTAATTAAGGGTATTAGAATTTTGAAATGTTTCCATAGTTTGGATTTTCGGCTGATGGTTGTCTGCTAATTGGCCAAGATGAAAGTGAAATTAACATCAAGAAACAAGTTGAATTTCTCAGCTTGTGTAAAAATAATGCTTTTATTTTTTAATATTTTAGAAAGTTGTACTACGGTAGAGCAACCAACCAAGGATTTCCTGATTTGCACCCGAGGATTCAAGAAACGCAAATGTCTATGCAAATAATTGTCCTCACATACATACTCCGGGATCCTTGTATGAAATTGGAGGAAAATCTTACTTTCTAGATACTTGTACTTTGAAGGGTCTGAAGTCTGATGCATATATCATTCTTCAGTATTATGTACAAGTGCGTATCAATAACTTTATGCAGAATCTTTCTGGATAGTTTACATGTATTAAGCTGTCAATACAGTAATGTCAAGATTGTGTCATCACCATCTAAAGGTACAGAAGGTACCTAAAGGTACAGAGGCAAGAAAAGGTCATATGAAGTCCAGTCTCTTTTCACAAACTCAGTTTTGCATGTTCCTTAAAAAAATTCAGCTTTTTGGATTGTCATTCTCAAGCTTTCAAACACATTGGTTTTCTCACAAACCTGGGGTGCGTTTTGGCGGTCATAACCAAGAATTGGTTCGGTTGTTTCTTGTCCGTGAATTTCTTTGGCAATATTAATTTGGTAAGAACTACGCATGATGATGTAGTACTAAAATTCCCAAACCAATTACCAAAAGAGAAACAACCGAACCAATTCTTGGTTATGATCGCCAAAACGCACCCCTGTACTGTGTAGTTGTAAGGACCACACACCTAATGAGCAGGGACAAAAGATGCTGTGGGAACATCTGGATCATAATTTCCTTAACAATAAAAATGTCCACACAAACACAAAGCAGTCTCTTCTAATGCCCTTGCCTGATATTCGTCCGTTTTAACATATCACCCGGTACCTCAAAAACTTCTGGTTTTCTCGTTCAAAACTCCTCTCACTCGTCTGTAAGTTTGACTCTTTTAATCTTTATTACTCTCGTCCAACTGCAGACATTCACATGTGTGTGCAATTGCTTCCACTTACATGTACCTCACACATTTATGACATTCCAAGATTTAATTCATCAAAGAGTGAAGCTATTTTGCCCAAACAGCTTTTCCATATGTGCATTACCAGTCTGTATAAATTTGCTGCATACATGCGATATGCATATTGGCAGCCTTAGTTGCTTAAGTGTAGGTGAGAAAACAATTCACAAATTACTCGGTGGGACTTGAAACCACCACCTCCTGCTTACTAGTGCAGACATCTTACCCCTCAATCACCGAGCTTGCCGGGGTCAGCTGGCTGGTTCAAATATGTTATAGCCGCAGGCACCACATCCCAAATATTATGAAATATTGAATTCATATCACCCCGACACAAATTTAATTTTTTGAACAGTTTATTCTTATTTAAGCTCCTGTCACACAGTGCCGTTCTCTAGCCCCGTGCATAATACGATGGTCACGACCAACAATTTTTTTATTGAAACATGGCTAGGATGCTGGAATAAAAAAAATTATGGCTCCAGCCTTGGATCCTGGACCATAATCCGTGTGTGCCCCGTCCTCACCCCGTCCTCGTCCAGTCCAAGCCGTTCACAGGCAGTTCTATTCAAGACAAATGTGGCTCATACACTCGTCCCCGCCCCGTCCTCGCCCCGTCTCCAGTCCTCGTCCAGTCCAAGCCCTTCCCAGGCAGTTCTATTCAAGACAAATGTGGCTCACACTCCAGTCCCCGCACCGTCCTTGTCCCATCTAAGCCATTGGCGTCATGTCTATCACATGCTTATCCCGTGTTATCAATGGGCGGAGGTCTGGGTAGGCACTGTGTAAGCATGGCATAGACGTAGGAGACTTGTGAGTGAAAGACAGTCCCGATGCAGCTCCGTGCATGCAGTTTTCACAACGATGCTCCTGACTGCCTTCCCTTCGGCCCCATCTCCAGGCAGTTCGAGTTAAGTCCACGCCTGCAGCACTGCGTCCTTACCCCATTGTGAATAGGATGGGAGAGTCCCCATTTGTTTTGAACTAGCTCAGAACAGTCAGGGCACTTTGCCTCTGTCAGATTCTGTCGGTATGCAGTATCCCACAAGTCCCCAACAGGAGCTCCCCGTTCAGAGTTGTTGCCGTCAAGTCCTCGTCCAGTTTTGCCAATTTCTATGGTTGTGACACCAGCAGGATGTTGTATAAAACACTATGTGACAGGGGCTTAACTAAAGTCCTTATGAAACAGTCACCACGCTGACAGCCCTTATTGCTAGTACTACCTTTTCAACAGTCACTACTGAATGTTAGCAATCACAGGTTTCTCAAAGACTGACACACAGAAGGCCTTTTCACACGGTCACACTATGTAATATCTCAACAATTGGACCTGCATCAAACCCTAGATTTCGGGAACCTCTTTCACACTAGCAAGAATCCAACTTGGCTTGTGCTCCAAGCAGGTAAAATCATACCCTGTATGGTGCCAGGGTTGAGGTTCTACCCAATAGTCAGATGATGCCCCCCCCCCCCTTCTATCCCCCTCCCCCTTCCATTCCCCCCCCCCCAAAAAAAACTTTCTCATTTTGGTGACAGGAAAACAATTTCCGTCTACTCTTCTATCAACAAATTTGTTGTCACATCCCCCCTCCCCCCGATGCCCCTGCCTGTGTTAATTTCAACACATTGTACACATGTACAAGTAGGCGAGATGATAGTGTGAAAAGGTCTAGAAACACAACCAGAAGAAGACTTACCTGCACTAGAGATTCCCAGCATGGGAGCAGACACTCTCGGTCCTAGAGGAGGCTTGGGTCTTGGGAGCGGTTTACTTGGTTCATCCTCTGCAGGTGGGACTGATATAGCTGGTGCTGTCAGTGACCGACAGACGGGCTTGTGGGTGTTCTCACTGCAGCAATGGGGAGTCCAAACGGAACAAAATCACGATATTATCCAAATTCATATGATGCTGGAAATGCCATACAAACATTGTCATCAAAGTTATTATGATTTTCAAAAGTTGAAAAACAAACAACTTTTATCTCAATACTAAGGCATTAACCCTGTTTGTCAGTATAAACCGTATAAACTGTTTTTAAATTAGATGGAATTAGAACTACCTGGGTACATGTATGCACTATGACGTTTGAGCCGATATATCAGCACACCATCTCAAGAGGGCATCGTTTCTAGCCATACGCAAGGAGTTAAGGCAATTATGGTGGCATGTTCAGCAGGCTGGGGCAACTGCTCAGATTTTTTCTTACATTGTTAAGCTGCCTTTTCTTTTTTCTAAATGTTTCAGTCAAAGTCTGCTTGGTATTTCAGCCTGTAAACTACCGGTAGGCCTACCGGTACAGGTCGAACAAAGAACATACATGAATGGACAAGCAGGTGCATTGTGTAGCATTATCAGTGCAAAATAAAATGTCAAAACCTTAAACACTCTTCACAGCCATGTACAGTATATAATATTCAATAACATTCACACTTGTTACCAACTGCTACACAAATAAATAATTGTTTAGTTTTACAGTTCAAAAGCAGAGGAGACTTACATTAAATACAAACACAATTTGAATATTTTCAAACTGCTTTGAAAAAAATCTTAAGAGTCCTCAACAGATATTCAATAGATGTTGATATTAAGATAAAATAGGCTCTCACAACATCAACTTTTTTTCATGACTATATTTTGAGCCTAGAGTTTAATTAAAAGGATTCTTTATTTAACACATTAATTTCCTATACATGTATTGTCACATGTACAACAATGAACAACACGGTTACTTACATGTAAGTTTTCTGCGTCACAGACAATTATTTGTCAAGTGTTCATACTCATTATTGCCTTTGATGGGACGCTCATTTGGTAATATCTTATAGATTTTCAGTGTCTAGTGAAAAGGGTGGCTTAGCTTCTGCACAAATGAGAAGATAACATATTTATCATCAATCAATTAATATACACTTGTGATTCCAGGGAACAAGTGCAATTAAATATTTCCTGTTGCATTGAGCTTGAGAGGGTCTGATGCATCAACAGTCTTAGTAACAAACAAAGTAGGCATAAATGTCCATGTACGTATACACTGTACATGTACTGGTCTTCTTTCCTCAAGTGATGTATTTATGAAGAAAAAAATGATAAAAGTATTTATGAATGAATATTGCTTATTTATAACTGACAGCTAATCAGCAGTTTGCATGCAGGTCCTATTATCACAGAAAAAATGATCAATTTTTGTGTCATATTTTTTCACAACTGTCAATCACGGTTAAACTACCGTAACTTTATTGAAAATTATTTTTCATCACATTATTAATGTCACTGGATGGTACAGTGTGTACATCGATTACACATTACACTTTCAGTCCCACAATAACAAGAATGAACTGCTTTCTAACAATTAATTGAGTGATTTTCTTCCTTTTTTCAGCATTGAGGCATGATGGAAGTTCACAGCCCCAATACAGTTTCCTCAATTGGCCATACAATCAAGAGATTCGTCCAGTTAGCACGCCTCAAGAAAGCCCTGCTGGGAACATTTCTGATGACCATAACACTAGGCACTGTTAATATCCTTGGAAATTGATTGGTTTTAGTGAAAATGAATCATTGACAAGCAAATTCAATCTGTGAAATATAATCCAGATACTTTGCGAATGAAGATACTTTTTAGTAGGCAAAACTGACGTGCTGTTGAAAGAGAGGTCTCTCAAAGCTACATGTAAAATTATATTCTAGTACCAACATGTACTGTAAATGTACTTAAGTCTTTTGGCCAAATTTATTGGCATCACAAATTCTAAATACTGATATAGCATTTTTGACAACTGGCATGCATGGTATGAAAACTACCTTGCAAATCTTCATTAATTACAATTCCGGAAATTCGGACGTACGTTTTAGAAATTTTGGGGGCTTGTAATTTTTCCTGTGTTAATGCTGTCAAGTTGAAACATGTACCGGTACGTGTATGGTTTTCAAGCATCCCTGGTAGAAGTGTAGTTCTTAAAAATTTAATTGTAAAATCATTCTTGATAAGCACGATAGGTCTGAAAAACCACTCGGTTTCAAACGTATTCAGAAAAGGGTACTTTTTTTACATCATGTGGCACTATCAAAATCATTCTGAACTGTTTAGGCCATTGATTGAAACTGATGCAATTTTGTTTGTAAGAGGGACCAGACTGAAGAAAGTAACCAAAGAAAAAAAATAGACTTCTCATCTTTTTGGTGAAGTTGACCCCTTTTTAGTGGTTGCGGATGTATGCATTTTTGGTTTTGGACGTACATTGCAAAATATTTCATTTTGTACACGGTCGTGTCCGAAACCAAAAAATGAGTCCATTTTTCAATACAGCACAAAGCTTTAAAATGAAACAAGTTTGAAACAAAAATATTTACTTTTCAACTTTGTAATTATGCAAATTTTATTTCTTTCAAAGAACAAGAGGAACTTGAGAGGGGTGATTAAACATGGCAGATTTGGGAGGTGTACGTCCGAAACCGAAATGCTTTATTTCAGAATTTCTAACTGACATCAAATGTTTATTCCGGGATTTCAATGTAGATTATTTAGTGTTTTGTCAAAAAAACTATTAACTAGAACGGCGAAGCCGCCATGGCTCGCTGTCCAAGGCAGGAAGGGAGGCTGAAGGTAGGGTTGAGGATGGGCATGATGAAAGGGGATCAGGATTCTTGTTGATGTGCCTAGGTGTAGGGGTCAGTTTTTAAATGTCAACATAAAAAGTTAACAGATTACCTAATAAATACATATGTATAGGTTAGCCGTCACTGTATTATGGGGAGTTTTCCATTGTTAGGGTAATTAGGACCCACTTGTGGATTTTTGCAGCCCCAACAGTGTCTTCTGGTCCCCATACTTGTAGCACCATGGGAAAACTCTTGTGTAGTCGCCACAAATGCAGAACAAGAATGGGTATACATGTACATGTAGACACAGCACCATCACCACCTCCCCCGAACCTTACCCCATCCCAAAACCTTACCCCATCCCCAACCCGCCCCCTCCCCCACCCAACCCCCTACCCACACCCATTTCATCCTCCCCTAACCATCCCCACTTTATCACCTACACATTCCAACCCCACCCAAACTCCAATCCGTATCTCCTGACCCGTACCCTCCCCTACCCCAACCCCCTACACCCACCTACCCTATCTTCCCTTATCTGTCCTTACCCACCCTACACATCCCCATCCTAACCCTAACTCGAATTCCCAATATCCCGCCCACCCCATTCCCCCACCCATACATCCCCACCTGACCCCATGCAACCCCTACTCTGATCCCTATATACTGCCCCCTACCCTTATCCAACCCCTACAACCCATCCCTACCTATCCCTACACATCCCCAACCCAACCCCTACTCCGATCCTATATCCCGCCCCCTGCCCAACCCCCTCCTAACCCAACCCCTATATCCATGCCCATCCTCTCCCTACCTGTCTCTCTCTACCTGTTGTCACCCCACCCCTACAAATCCCCACCCCACCCAAACCCAGTATTCCAACCCCTCTCCCCACCCCAACCCACCCCGCCCCACCCATCCTAGCTCCCCTACTCATCCTACTCACACAAACCCTAACTTCCACCTCATACCCCACCCCACCCCACCCCACCCCACCCCACCCCACCCCACCCCACCCCACCCCACCCCACCCCACCCCACCCCACCCCACCCCACCCCACCCCACCCCACCCCACCCCACCCCACCCCACCCCACCCCACCCCACCCCACCCCACCCCACCCCACCCCACCCCACCCCACCCCACCCCACCCCACCCACCCCACCCCACCCCACCCCACCCCACCCCACCCCACCCCACCCCACCCCACCCCCACCCCCACCCCCACCCCCATCCCCATCCCCACCCCCACCCCCACCCCCACCCCCACCCCCACCCCTACCCCTACCCCTACCCCTACCCCACCCCACCCCACCCCACCCCACCCCACCCCACCCCTACCCCATCCCTACTCCAACCCCATAAACTAAAAGATCAAACCAGAAGCTCATGCACATCCCCAAAATGCATAGTGTACATGTACATGTTATACCGGTATACACACACGTACATGTTATACCAGTATACATGTACATGTAACAATTAAAAACTTTAACATTTCCTTGAATTAAAATTCCTCAATAAAATCATAAAATTTACTGCAATGATATGAACCTAACTGAAGTTATAAAGATGATACATGACAACTGCATTTAATTTTTTTCCCCAAGTTAACTAGAACCAAAAACTTCAACATTTTTATCTGAACGCGGACGGCCGGACAGACGGACGGACGGACGGACGGACAGACGGGCGCCCGGACAGACGGACGGAAATTGGTATTACATAGGCTCGCATCTGCTTCGCAGCTCGCCAAAAATGGGGGGGGGGGGGGAAGGATTGTAAGATCTCAAAGTGCGTTTCCAAATCTGCCTCATGACCATATTTGGCAATCATAAAGTGCCTGGTACATGTACCGGTATGCCTGTGAGAGATTTGCATAAACATGTATGCAAATGAACAACTTTTAACCAACGAACAAGTTTGTTTTGTATTAGGCGCTATGTTGCTTGGTAAAGTTATGGCCTGAGTTGGATTGTGGGCAATTCCACGGTAACGGAAGGACGTTTTCACTCATTAAACAAAATTTCAAATGTGTGTATCACAGACACTGTTCATAGTTACAGCAAACAAATGTCACAGTTGTATTGCTATAATGCTACTTTCATTTTCCACACTTTTGGGGGGCATGAATGCCTCCCGTTTATGAATTATGAATATTAATGAGGTCGGTAACGGAAGGACGGTAAAACGGACAAGGGTTTTCCAACTTACATGCGTTTTGCGTAAACTCTGTGAATTTTATGGGG